AAAAGGAAAATTTCAAACAGGGTCAAAGAAGTACGTGTATAAACATACCCATAGTCGTACAGCAGAGCCATTTCCATTTTCATGCCAAGCCTCGGCTTCCGGTTGACCACGTTCCTGATGACCTCAGAACTCCCAGGATCCTCCCTGACGAGGGGATGTTCCAAGATGGCTGCCGTGTCGTCTGAGGTCAGCAGGTTGAAGCGGATGCGAAGGAGGATGCTGGGTAGATGCTGCAGTCTGTAGGGTACAGGATAGGGGCAGAGCTTTTTACTTGTGGGAGTAAACTACATGACAAAATTATCACCCTGTTAATGTCAACAATAAAATCAGGCTTCTTCAGTCATACCATGTATCCATACAATTATGGCAAAGGACACAGCAGGTAAATTTTATGGATGACATCCTCTACAGACTCCAAATCTAATGTGAGTGGGCAAAAAAAATAAGGCGGGCCAACAAAAAAAAGGTTCCTACATTTTAAAATTTTGACTCCATCATTGTACAAATGGTTTTTATTCAGTGGGAACATCACACAGCCAGCATCACATATCACTGCATCAAAGTAAGAAACAAACATTAAATCAAAGCCTTTTCTTGTGTCCTCTCTTCATAGTCATCTGCCATCCACCTTCCGGCATGGCAACAGACATCTTTGCCCATTTTCGGCATGTTGACCACTGTCAGAAGACTCTCAGAAGGCAAAGAAATTTCTTTTTTTTTCCCCCAAAATCAGGCAAAAATTAATGCGCGCGCTGATGCCATCCATAAAAATCACTTGCTGTGGCCTAACTGGAGAAATGAAAGAAGCCTATGAGTGTAAACATTAACACTGCTGCCCACCTGTCCTCCTTGCTGTGCTGCACCCATCTCACCACAGCCTCCCACACTCTTGTCTCCTTATCAACCTCCAGCTCATCATGGCTGATGATCTCAGTCAGCTGATCCACACTCAGGCTGCAGAACTCCTCACTGGAGGAAACCTGTGGAGGCATGAAATAGTTTATAATATTTGAAAATTTTTAAATTTCAATAAATTTCAATGACCTGTAAAATCCAATGGAGACACATGTTTAAAAACGTGTCTCCATTGAATTTTATAGGTTATTTAGGAGCAAGCCAAGTATTCAACATATGGACTTGGGGTCAACAGGGCCATTTGGTCTCCATCGACTCTCCAAACTAGAGGCAGTCTTGCATGAAAATTTGTCTTAGACTACTAAATAGAGTCTCTGATGATAAGAAGACAAACCTCCACAAAATGCTGACATATATACTGCAGAGAAGAGTTCCGGACAACATCCACCCTGAAGACATGAGCAAACTTGTACAGATCCACACAGGTGGAGCGTTCCACGTTCATGGCCATGTAGCTGCTGCAGGTGTCTCTCACATAGTCCAGCTGCAGGAGGTCGGCTGCCTGGTACAGGGGCTGCACTCTGTCCAGGGACACATGGAGGGTTCCCAAGTAGATGTAACTCAGGATCTCCTCAAACATGTCTGCATCTAAACCCTTCAGAAGAATACAACATACCGGGTAACAATGTTTAAACTCCTACCGCATGGCAAGTGTCATTTTGTAGTGGCCCTTTTGAAAAATAAAGTATACATTTTCATCACATTTTACCGATAGTAGCAATGATATATTATGATTATACAAACGGTCACTAAACTGTGAAGTTGGTAAATTTGACACTAAATAGAGCAGTAGAGGGGGGCAGTAAATTGTGCTCACAAAATCTTTAGGAAAGCAATTATATTCATGAACGCCTCTAAATTTCCCTGGTTCCATGACGTGTGGTGTTGCTTTGTACGTTATTGCTCAGGATATGACATGTTCACTGCATTTCAACTATTTTCTTCTACAGTCTGGTTAGTAGGGTACAAAGCGTGTTTGCTCAGTCCAGAGGCCAAATAAGAAAGGGTATCGGATTGGAAAGAGATGGAATCTCTATACATACGTCAGTTCCTTTGGAGCTTTTGCTTATGAATATGTATGATACTACTAAGGGGGTGTTAGCTTATAATTCTTACTTCGTAACATGTGGCATCTCTGTAATATGTTTTTGCAATATTTCTAGTCAACCCTTATGATGAGCGTTAAAGTTAAAACCTACCTGTAAAACAACCGTCTTCTGCCGACTTTCCGCCATGTCGCTTGTAAACATGGCTCTGAAGTAGTGGCTGGCCGCGGACAGAACAAGCCGATGGCAGGGAAACCGCCGGCCCTCGACTTCAAGGACGACATCCTGCAGTTCCCCTTCCTTCTGTAAGTCACCCACAGATCCAAGAAACCCGTGCAGATAGCTCTCGTTTTGGTAGGAACGAGGACGAACTGAGCTGACGCCTGTGGCAGCCATGTTGATGATGACGAAGGCGCTGCACCTCCCAAGGGGAACCCTAAACATACCTTGATTACTCATGTGAGTAATCAAGGTATGTGATAATGTAGCAGCAATATCGATATCGTGCGGTTGACTTTAGTGTTGGTTTTGTAGTGGAAATACAAGTGTGTGAATGTGGGTACTTTTTGGCGGCGCCTTTTAGGGGCAGCTGTCAAATAGCCATTGGTAAAGGTAAAGTACTGCGGTCAAGTTGGAATCCTGGAATGCATTACTGCTTGGTGCGTTGGTAGAATGTGATGAAAACTGGAAATGACGAGATTTAAGGCCCCCAAGTGGCTTTCATTTGTACTTCAGTGGAACTTCCTATTTTGATATCTCGCGATCTGGACATGGTACGATCATTTTGGATGGTAGGTATTCGCTTCCAATGAAATCTGCTAGGGGGACCAAATTAATGGCTCTTCTTACTTAGCCCAAAAGGTTTTTACCAGTGAAAACAAGAAAAGCCTTTTAAAAAAGCTGGGCGGGGCGCACATTGATATTTTCTTTAGTTTAAGAGCAGATACAAAATTTCCCCGTGATAGCAGTGACTTATCAATATGAATGTGAATCAGTGTTGCAGTCATCGTATTTAAGTGACGTCAATCAACCTGTCACCCCTACTCCCCAATGGTATAGCTCAAGCTATCCAATTCATATGCAAATGATCCAAGTGCTGTCAATCAACCTGTCACCGCTACTCCCCAATGGTATAGCTCAAGCTATCCAATTCATGATATGCAAAAGATCCAACTCCATCAATCTAGCATGGTTTGTGCATGGCCCAAGGAACATACCAACCAAGCACCCAACCTGCCTACCTACCATTAAACTGGGCACAAAGCCGGGGCGCGCCCCGGCAAAAAAAAACACGACCATATACTGTTCAGAACAGAAGATACAAACACTCTGGAAGTGCTGCTGCAGTATTCTGCCCACAGGGGCCCAAATCTAATTCCCAGATTTGGGGCCACCCTATCCACACACCAAATATGAAATATCATTGTTATTTAAATTCCATTCATACCTTCTTGAGTTCTGCTGTTTGTGGGAGTGCGCCGGTGTACATGGCATCTTTGTGTACGGACTACTCGGTCAGAGTTAAAGCGTCTTATGGACTACGACCCTCACCTACTCTTCTGTCCACCTGCAAGAGTCACTACATACCGGAGCAGTTACCTGTGGAACGCTCTTCCGCTACAGCAACGTCAGCTCCTTAGTCTCAGGACTTTTAAACAGAACATTAGGAGCAGGACTTGATCCAGTTGATGTTTAGGATGTACTGTGTATTTGTTGTGTGTATTTCTATGTGTATCCAGGATTACCTGAAAAGCAGGCCAAAATGGCCTGAGCTGTAATTACTGGTTAAGTAAATAAATTGAAATTGAATTGTTCACAAACGGACAGACTAACAGACAAACACTGTCATTCCGACTGAGGAAATGATTCAATTTTCTCATTGATTAATAATCAATGAGAAAAATGAATCATTTTCATTATGAAAATAAAATCATCATTTCATTTCCATCCTGGATTATATCCAGTGTGTGGAAGGAGGAAGGTGACTTTCCTACTACGTATAATGTCACTGTTCAAATGTATCTTCAAAAGATGTCAGGTATGAGGTTACTGAACCAGGGTCTCCAGAGCTTGGACCAACAGACTGTACAACTCTATTCTCCACTACGCTGTACAACAGAGAAATGCAGACTGAGTCTTAGTATTTATGACTTTTGTCAAGTTTTTGTAATTGTATGTGCACTGTGTGACTACAGATTTGATTTGTAATGAATGCAATTCAGGAGTACAGTTTCTGTGTAGTTCATATTGCTTCAAATGAATATATAACAGGTTAAAACTAAAACTATAAAATCTACAAAAGTTCTGAATATTTGATGGCGTCATCTTTCCACTGTACACCTTTTACAGTGTAACACCAGCCGACTTTCCAATACTAAGTACTTGACGGAATTTTGCCACGGTGGACAATAATTTTGCCCGATTTGTCATCTTTGACAAACAAAAATTAATGTGTAAAAAGAGATGGAAAAAGGATGTCTTAACTTAAGCATATTCATGCAAAATTTGACAATAAAAATGCATTAAATAGCATTTCAGAGGGTAAAAAAAAAGTCAACATTTGTTGTGACACCTTGCGCCTTTAACGCTCATAACAATGTGTCAAACATAAGTAGGAGACCCTCCCAGTGTGCGTGGTTCAAACTTTACAGTCTGGTCTTACGCAGCTTGTACTTACATGTACAAAACACCAGGTGTGTTGTTCCTAAAAGACGGTTGACCGGTTATGCGAAACAAACAAAAACACTAGAAAAGTAACATTTGCAAAGCAAATGCATAATGTTTACCTTCAGACATGGTCTGCTCTGTTAATTATTACTCAAACACATTTACTATATGGTGACAGCTGTCCTGGTCAGACAGGAGTCTCCTGCTATAAAATTGTAACATAATTTAACACAACACCTGTTACTATGGTGACAGACATCAACAAATCAGGTCATTGGCCAGGTCAGAGGTCAGTGTTTGGAACGGAAGAAGAAACTGAGGAAAAATAATATGTTTTCCTGCGGTAAACATAAAAAATTGAGATGGAAAAAAAGTCAGGCTGGCTATAGAACAGTGATGTAACATCAGTGGTCCTCTTCCCGCTCTTCCCTCTCTTGAGAGGAAACCCATCGCTTCATCACAACTTCCTGGACTCTGAACCTTGAGATGCAGCTGGGAGAGGTCTCCTCTTCCTCGGTCAAGTCTGCTGGTCTCACCACAAAACACAACAGTACCTCCTGTAGGTAGGATGGAACAACAACAGGGACTGTGAGAAACAAGGGAGGCATACATGTAGTACAGAATACTCAGGGCTAGAAATCCTTTTTTTGGGGGGATGTCTCAGGGAGGAGCCTGAAGGTACAGTATTGTGTGCAATTTGCAAGAATTCTAGGAATCGTACAGGCATTTTGTCCACAGGAATGGAATGTCCACAGGTATGTCTCTGACCCACATCTATGCCCACATTCCTGAAAATCTTTGGGAAGCCTGGGACCTCCCTGCCCGGATGGCCCTACTTTCTGTGACCACGGGGCTCGTTCACTATACACTCAGTGGAGGAGTGCAATTAGTCTGTATAGTACCAAGTCTTCCTCAAAATAATGAAATGATGGCAGTGCCATGCAAACAATGACCCTAACAGCAACCACCGTAGCCATGGCAATGTTTTCACTGGCAGTCTTGTTCTCCATATGTGCATTGGTGCAGGTAACATTGAAAATGACCTGTAGTGTTACAGCAATCCTTGCATCCTCGACTACTTGGTGCAAACAAGTTTTTGAAAACTTAAATTTTTTTGGGTTGATACATTGTAACTCTGAGATTTGAAGGCATGATCAGATTCTGTTTCTTGTTCTTTTCTGGGTTCATTAGCTACCTAGTGGTTGATACAATAATTTGTATCATACCCGGGCCGCGATAACGTTTGATAACGGGTTCCAGACCGGGCCGAACTTTACGGTATGGCCCGGAACCCGTTATCGAACGGGCTTCCCTGGCTTCCATAGAACGATTCGAACACATTTTGCCCAACTGTGTGCGCCGCTTTCGAAAATTCGAATACAGAATTCAGACGTTGTTGCATTTGTTTATTTAGGGACACCAAACTTGGGCTCATTTTGCATTGAAAGGACCGTTTCTTGGGTGGGTATGACATACATTTGTAAATAAAATACAACACGGTGTATTCTGCATCGCCCTCGGTCTCGGCCCTCTTGCGAGTCGGATCACCCTCGGCCATCGGGCGATCCGACTCACGGTCGGGTCGATACCTCGGGCGACATGGAATACCCCGTGTTGTATTCTATATGTACGTCCACCTGGTATACTAGTCATTTTGTACATCATGCATAGTCTGGACATTTTTCTGGCCCTAGAAGACAAGAGAGCGGAGAATGCACCTTCCCCACATGCTGGGTGATTCTGTCCATACCAGCCAGGAGGTGCCAGGAGCGACAGCAGGACAGACCGCGGGAAGGTGTCAGTCTGTCTCCATCCACGGTCTGCACCACTACAGAGTAGCTGGAGTGGTAGAACCTGGGCCCTTTCCTGTACAAAACTGCAGCAAAACAAAACAAGACATTAGAGTAAAATGTTGAACTTTATTCCAAACACAAAGAGTACAGAGAGATCAAATTTTCAATTTCAGTCACCTAGCCTGGGTACCATCCGGATTTTCGCTCCGCAACGCTCGATTCGATTAAGATTCGATGCGTTTTGAGACTTGCACACAAAATAAGCATTTAATTGTATACTATAACGTAATATGCATTTTTCAATTCCTAAAATTGATGCACGCAGGAATATAGCACTCCCTTCTGGAGGTTAGTACTCCTTTAAGTAACATTACTTAATTTGAAGAAAGTATTGTGGTAACTTATACTTATAGGTGGAGCAACCTAAAATTCTGATGGGCAACCTAGTTTTTGCCATAGGTTGCCCACTACCTGGTTCAAAAAAGTATTTTGCACACTGCTAAGGAAGTCTAAATTGACTCACCCCAGGGTGCTCCATACTTCACCCCAGCCCGAGGTACCCAGCCTTTACTGCGCAGGTAGTGGTACACAATGTAGTTTTGGATGAAGTCATGTTGGGTCTGGCTGAAGCGTTGCCACATTTCCACCAGTGTCATCGGACGGCCAGACCCATCAAGAACACTCAAACAGCCAAGACCATAACTCAGGAAAAACGCTTCCTCCAGACTTAACTGCAAGAACTCTCCAACTCTGAGGTAAGATAAGGGTGAGTTTCTGATGATCCTCAAATTGTTTGGGTTTTACAAAAAGCAGTGTTCTCGCCAGGCTTTTTGAGCATATGATGAGCCCTATGCTCTAATTTGGACCCCCTATGCTGTGATTTTGACCCCTATGCTGTCTTTCACCCAGCATTGGGTTTTTTTTTTAAGAAAATCAATAGATCTTGCTAAAAAATGAAATTACTACTTTAGAATTAAGCTACAGGAAAGGGAAAACCTTAACTTCACAAATTCTGTCCATCAAAAAGTGAGAAATAGTGTCTCATGATCATCAGGGGGTTATGAATTTCAATTTTTTTCGGGTCAACGCGTGACTTGCGCCGCGAAAGTTGCCCTTCTGTACCTGACCCCTATGCTGTGAAAAAATCCTGGTGAGAACACTGGAAAATGCATGTGTAGTTTTTTTCGTATCTTGCCAAAGCTAAAAATGTAAGTTGTCCATCAAATTATTTCTGATTGCTGCCAACACCAACCATTAGAAGGTAAGCAACCTGTAAGCTGTAAAAGTGTCGCTCGTATGCTGGCCAAGACGGGACTGTGACAGTTTATTTCAGAAGGCATAACTTTTGTGCCTGGCAATCTGGCATCTCCAATAAGTGTCACAGGGAAAACATGTCTAACTTGCATGGTGAGATTGGGTATTTCAAACCCTGCAGCAATCACTTAGTAAAACTGTTTACACAATGTACGGCTCACATGCTTTCATACAGCAGTTGATCACAATCAATGACATACAAAATCATATGAAACTTCAATCCAGACATATTTTCCTTGGGTTAACTACAGTTGATGGTGTTTTGTAGCAATACAATAACAGAATACTAGGACTCAAAGTTGGTACATGTACATTGTAATTGTTTTCTAAGCAAGATGTTACCTACAAATTCAATTCAAGATGTCATACCTTGAAAAAAAAACTGAACATGACAATACTAGTAGCTCATTTTGAATTTGAATGTAACAGCTGGTGTTCATATTTGTCCTACCTGCTTTGGTCTTCTGAGCCACTAATCTTGTCTTCTTGATTTGCACAATCCTTTGGTCTCACACCGTAGTTTTCCTGACCATGTTCTGTGTCGGACACACCAGTCTCTGTGTGGCCGGTCTCACACTTCTGTTCTGTGGTACCCTTACTACTGCCAGGTCTCCCTGAAGCAAAACATTCCTCTAAATCCTTTCTCTGTGTTGTTGATTCTACATGAGCACAGGTAGTTCTTTGAGATGACTGTATGGTTGCTGCTGCACCCATTAACTGTGAGTAGGGCTGATCAGGCTGTCCATGTGCTGTCCTATCTTCGGACAGCTCCCAACAGCTGCTGTCCCCTCCTGGCCAGTCCTGTGTGGCAGGATCCTGGGAATCTTCTGTATTGTTCCCAGCTCCTGTTCTGTGCTGATCTGTGTCATTCTGACCACTCCAAAGTGGGTCGAACTGGTCCAGTTGTTCACACTGCGAGGTCTCTGCCACCATCGTGCTGTTGTCAACTGCAGATGTAGGTTCCACCTCAACTCTGTAGTGCAGTTATACATGTATTTGTTTTCAGGATTCATGATATACAATGTACATGTTAGGCCACAACAATTACTAGTAAGTAGTAATCAATTGGTTTTGTGATTTGCCTGCTTCATTTTATTCTGATTTGCAACTTCCTAACTTCTTTTTAGGCCTAAGACACAAAATGTTGACGTATTTCTTGTTTCTGTCCTGGAAAAATTAGGGTAAAACTTGCATCACACTTATATTTTCAATGTCAACAACTGATTGTACAACATTTCATTGCATCACTCAGGTGTCAGATCATGGACTTAAAAAAGGTCAGTCAGATCAAAAAATGTGTCTTTGTCACACAAAAAAGGTTACTAGTACTCCTAGGGTCAGCAGTTTATTCTAGGGTCGGTCAGGAAACACAATTATTTTTCCTGAGGCCTTCGGCCACACCAATTTAATTTCTTGGTTAACGGATTCATTGTTTAAATTTTGAACCAGCCTGGTGTGTTGACTTCATGGCTCCTATCATACCATTTTGGGCCATATACTAGTACGATGCCTAGGCCTGTTTTCTTTTGCCCGCCCGCTCCATTATTTTTCTAGAAAAATCTGTTAACCAAGAAATTAAATTGGTGTGGCCTTAGTTAAAGTACTGAGTCTACTACCTTGCCCTTTTCCTACACTGGAATAAAGTTGAGGACAGTGAGGGCTGATGATGCCTCTTCTCCGATGCCTTGAACCTATCCGTGCCAGGGCCACACTTAGACAAGGTACCCTTCCCAAAGAAACCATTGTTGTACAGCATGGTCATCTCATGGAGATCAGTCACCAACACACAGTCCCCCTGGAATCTACCTACAGAAAGAAGGAAGCAACAAGTTTATGTAATTAACTTAATTGAAAAGCTATTTGTCATGAACAGCCATTGGTTCAGAATTTGAAGTGATGGTGTCATTCCCAGGGTTCTCACCAGGATTTTTTCAGAGCATGGGGGTCAGGTACAGAAGGGCAACTTTCACGGTAAAGGTCGCACATTGAGCCGAAAAATTTGAAACTCATAACCCGGCTGAGCAGGGCTAAAAATTCATTTTTGGGAAAAGGTGCACTGGTGTACCCAACCTAAAAAATTAGGTGCACAAAAAAAGTTTCTAGATCTTACTGATCATCTTCTCAGAATGTGATGAGAAGACTGATTCCCCTATACTATAGAAATTTGTTTACTCCATATCACCCTCAAGAAGGCTGGCCAGAATACATTGTGTTCTGTTTCATTTGCAATTTGTATGTCATAACTACCCCGTCTACCCAACAAAACACACATTTCAAGATGAAATATGCCAAAATTTTAGGAAATCATGTGTTCCTAAAACAAAACAACACCAATGTCTGAATCCGGTATATATATATATATATGGATTTTGAATAACCACTGTGGTTTGCATCAGAATGCTAATGAAAGTAACAGTGGTTGTTGAAAATTTGATCCTTGTGTAACATTACCCTTTGTGTTAAGACTTTTGGGCCCCCTAGGGGCTTCTTAAGACCCTTCAGCACTATTTGGCACGCACCCAGAATGTGATTCCCTTGCACTGGGCTTTGTCCAGTAGAAACATATAACGTTAATTGGTTTCTGGACCTTTCGCTGCCAGACGGGTTCGCGGCCAGACGATTCGTGGTCACTTCCAGGTCATTTATTATTCACTGTCAACATGTTTTTTTGCATTTCTAGACAGCAAAAATCAAGACTAAATTTTAATAGTATTTGATAATGTGATGTAAATATTTGATAATGTGATGAAAATATTTAATAATGTGATGAAAATATTTAGCGTTAGCGTATGTTACGTACGTTAGAAAACAGTTTTAAAAAAAAAATTGTCATAAGATGTGGAAATCAAAGTGTATCGTGGAGACTATAACCTCTTTGCGTAAATACAACAGTCCTTAAAAGTTATCTTATGCAACAGACAGTGATTGTAGCAGCCTTTATGGCTTGTACACAGTGGCCGCGAATTGTCTAACCGCGAACGAAACGCCCAGATACCTGTTAATTATATACTAGTAACGTTACACAATAATTATCATAACGTTATATATTGAATATCTCACCTGAATTTACCTGAACTGCAGAGATATATGTATTGAATATAACCAGCAGAATTTTGAAATGTTAAAAATAACACAAAGCTGTTAGTAAGACAACTGATAATGTAAAACTGTGTACCTGTACAGCAGCACCAGTTGTCGTCTGATGCTGTCACTGCTGTCAGGGAGGCTATGGGGATGGGGAGGGGGGCGTCCTCGTGCTGGTGTCGCCAGCGTTTTCTGTGCAAAGGGGCTGGGATGCGTGCAGCCATGGTAGGCGCTTTTGTCTGTTCCCAAAAAATAATAATAGTGACCGCAAACGCGACTCCAGTTTATTCTCCCGAAGTCTGTGTATTGTTAGAGTACAAATCCTGACGAATTTGGAAAGTTTAAAAAAAAAATCAGAGCAACCAACCGCTATCGGCGCCAGTGGATTTTGCAGGACGAAATGAGCATTTAGAAACGTTCACATAAAAAGTCATGCTTAGGAAGAGTTAGACAAACGCTGGGAACTATTTCTGATCACAAGCCCGCAGTTAAACGTAAGACAGACCGCCTCAAAGTTGGCCCATTTTCGGGTTTTCAGCGCGCTTCGAAACCACCGTGACCTCAAACTGCGGTGTGAGAGCAAAATATGGAGTGTTCCATTAGATACTTAGGCGGAGGGGTGAGCAGAAAATATGTCACTATTATAACATAACTAGATAACTTTTTTTGTAAAGACATCAACAGTAAATGTGGACCGTTGTATTAAGTATCAGTAACTTTATAATCACTATATATGTTAAGAAAACTGATTTCATATTCCCCCTTTTGTGGAATGTGATACCCTGACTCCAGGGTGCTACATTTGCATAAAAATACTTGTCCAAGTGCAGACGTGTTTTCGTGTCGATATCTGACGATGTATCTATAGTTCAGGTACAGTCGAACGTTCCAGTAGCGTAGATGGTAGCTGGAAATGTTGTTTAGCATCCGTTTTGTCCTAAATCATTGGGTCTGACTGCCGACTACCAGCAACAGTGGAGAAGGAACCTAAATTGCACCGAGAAGCTTCAACTTCAAGATCATCAACAACAACAACAACATCTGACAACAAACATGTATGTACCTGACCGGTAAACTCTTTCCAGCCATTCTGTATCTGTATCTGTATACTGTCAGGAGCGGTGACAGAGGGTCCCGCTAAGGAATAACAGGAGCGGTGACAGTCTAGGGTCCCGCTAAGGAATAACAGGAGCGGTGACAGTCTAGGGTCCCGCTAAGGAATAACAGGAGCAGTGACAGCTCTAGGGTCCCGCTAAGGAATTCCGGAATAACAGCCATTAATGACATTCAAAGACAATTCAAACTCCACTCCTGGATAAATTATGGAGATTATTTCCGGACGTTTTGAATTTGAGTGATATCTGTCTCTCTTCTTTAGTATCAATATCACATGTAAATGATCTGGAAAAACCGGTTGAACATGACATTGTAAATGTCATTGTCACGCAAATAAGGTTAGGATAGTTCAGTTCCTATGTTAAGTCAAAAAGACAATATCATAAGGCTGGCATAGGGACTGTTGCTGTACCTTTTAATTTATCCAGTAATTTTTACAAGTTTGAATTATCTTTGAATATTGTTTTACCTGGATGTCTAATTATTAGTTAAACTTCATCAACATAGTCAATTGATGTTACATAATTTACTAGTTTGTTGATGATAAGCATGTTTAAGGGACTCTGAGAAGCTGTGACAGTTTTTATTCTGAATATTTTTTAACTTAAGTCGACTTAAAGAGGTCATTATCTTTTCAATCCGTACTAGGTGTTAAATTTGTAGACGGGGGTTCAAAGTCCGACATTGTTTGAAAAATTATTATTATCATTTTAGAAATACCATCTGACCTTTGTATTTCATCATAATGTCATTATGCCTCAACGAGAGCAGTAGAGTGGCTGGAGGGGGGGTGTGTGGCTTGGTTGCTCTAAATCCTTTTTTTTCTAAATACCTTTTTCTATTACATGCAAAATTGCATGTTGGCAGAAAATTTACATACAAGTTAAAAAACAACATGTAGAATTGTTTATTCAGCCATCAGTCTTCTCTGGGTATACAATTATAGTATCGCTAATAATAACACCATGTTTTTATGATAGAGGGAAATTTTAACATACATGTAGTAGTGGCAGTACCTGGAATGAGGTGTGTGCCTGCAAACAAGACAAATTTTGATGACATGAGATCAGAGGAAAAAAAAACCATCCAGGAAATAAACTCTCAACATTTTAAAACGAGTATAACATCCGTGTCCATAATATCACCAGGGTCCATAATATCGCCACCTTGGCCTTGAGAAATAGTGTGCTTTAAGATATTTTTACTGCAACATGGTATGCATTGCACTCCTGCACACATCAAATGTACATACCTAGGGTATGTTGCAGTAAAAATATCTTTAAGCACACTTTTTCTCAAGGTGGCGATATTATGGACCCTGGTGATATTATGCACACGGATGTTAGCTGTGCTGTGACAGCAACATGTATATGTTCAACATACAAAATCTGGCTTAGGTCATTGACCTTCTGCGAATGTAAACATACAAACCTGTCCAAGCCGGCCACCCAGGGGACCAAAGAGGTCACCTTGGACAGGTGGTCTGCTTGAAGAGGGTTTCCTTACATTGCATGACTGGGACATACTAGTAAATGGTAATCCAAGTCGAGATGTTTAAATGTCAAATATCGTAAGCATCTTCAGTTCTGTGGTGAATGCCTGTGGGGAGGGTGGCACATGGAACAATTTACGTCTAACAAAACATTGTCCAGTAGTTGAGGCAAACTGTCTGGTTTCTCCATGATTTCTCATTAGTTATCATCAATAATCATCATGATTGAAGACGAATTGGTTACCATGGGCAGCTTTTAGCTAGGTATCAGGCCTTGAGCGGACCCAACTCAGGGCTGTCACGTTGGCCAGGTGGTCACCTTGGACAGGTTGCTTAATTCTTGCGTCAATGGGGAAAATTTTTGGGACCGAGAAAAAGCAGTCACCACGGACAGGTGGTCAGCTTGAAGAGGTGGTCTCCTTGGCAGGTTTGACTGTACATGTAATTATTATACCCTCAGGCCACAGCAATTTAATTTCTTGGTTAACGGATTTTTGTAGAAAAATAACGGAGCGGGCAGGCAAAAAAAATAAAAATAAAAACAGACCTACGCATCCTATTATGGCCCAAAATGGTACGATGTAGGAGCCATGAAGTCAACACACCAGGCTGGTTCAAAATTTAAACAATGAATTTTGAACTTTAATGATATCTGGTATGACTGCATTGAAAGTTGGAATAACTAAACTGTAACAACTAGCTATAGGAAGAAAAGGACTGTTTTCAACTGTTCAGGACAATTTTTTTTTTGCAAATGAGAAAAAAAATGAAGGGGGCGAATCCGTTAACCAAGAAATTAAATTGGTGTGGCCTTATGCCTACTGATGCATACCGGTTCACTGGACTTGGATCCGGACTTGTAAGAATGTTTAGGTTCAAGTCCAAAAAAACCTTACTAGTAAAGTCAAGAACCAAGTCCGGACTTATTACCATAAAAGATCATTTCACATACCCCTTTTCTTTCCAAACCACCTAAAACCTTCCATAGATTGCAAAATCTTTGCTGCAAAATGAAGAAAACATTGCCATCGGGCATCGTCAAGTACCGCGCTCCATGTTACTAGTACTAGTATATGTGGCCACAGTTTCACCCAGACAACCGTTGAGTCATTGCAAGGTTGCCAACATGCAATTTTGTATATGCCATGGGTTTCGGTCCGGACTTACAAGTCCGGAAATGAACCTAAACCCCTGGACTTGAATCCGGACCTGAACCTAAAATTGGGTTTAGGTATGCAGCACTACTTATGCCTAATTGTCTTAATTGCCTTTCTGTAGCATGAGACCCACAGAAGACCCGGAGTCCCTGGGAGACCTCTGTGTGCAGTACTGCCTGGCTAACATCAGCACCTTCTGTGTGCTGGACGACACAGGGACACCACGCGGCATCAAACCTGACATCTGTATACCCAGTCAGTATAGTGACAAGTTACTCAACTGGTGAGCAGCTCATTTTATGACCTGATACAGTTTACTTTATTTTGTTTATTTATTGTTTGATTCAGGCAGAGCCCATAGACAACATAGACAACACAAAATACATAGATCTAAAAATACAATGTCTAGGATAAAAGAAACTGAGTGAAGGCCTATTTAAGGTCTGCTTGCCAACTGGCAGTATCGACACCAGAACTGACTTCTGGGGAAGGCATCAGAGCATAAAAGCAGACTGATGTCGTTACCCGACGCCAGGAGGCGAGCCGCAAAAGAGAGCGTCAGCCTCCTGGCATCGAAGGTGTCGACACCCAACTGGGCAAAGAACAGGCTGTTACTAGTGGAGCGAGGCTGAGACATGATGATTTTGAAAGCATCATGGTAAGCAACTCGCAGCCTCTGCAACACACCTGCGCTATGATTGTTCCATAGTTGTACACAGTACATGGGGGAACAATGCGCTACAAAGATACGCTTAACCTCAGCGGAGCAGTTGCCAAAAGTTCGGATTAAAGAATTCGCTTTTGTGTACAGCTGGCAGGTTACGGGCTGGAAATTCATTTTTGGGAATAGGTGCACTGGTGTACCCAACCTAAAAAATTGGGTGCAAAAAAAAATTCTGGGTGCTCCATGTCAAAAAATAAGTATTATGTCGACTAAGAACTAATTATGTTTCATTTCTAAAGAAAAGTATTACAAGAATCATGAATGATTTTATCATTTCCTAACACTTAGATGTTAAAAGTATGCTGCATGTATACAACTATACATCTTGACATACATAAACTTACAAACATTTTGGGTGCACTGGTGCACCCATAGAAAAAAAATTGGGTGCACAGCTCCAAATTTGGGTGCACTAAAAAGGTGCACAATCATGCACCCAGTATTTTGAGCCTTGGTTAAAAATACCCATCTGCAGTCTGCATTTTTCAGAGACATTTTCAATATGGCAGGAGAATAATAAAGTAAACAACCTGCAATTTTGCAGACTGAAAAAATCAGGCTATGGTTTCAATGATGTTTACTGGTAAGAGCTGTTCTGTTTACTACTGACTAATATACAAGTAACAGTGTTCGAAATACCTGTCTGCAGTCTGCAATCTGCAGATAGATTTTCAAGATTGCAGAAGAAAAATTTATACAATCTGCAATTTTGCAGAAGGAAAAATGGGCTCCAGATTCAATAGTTTTCAATTTAGCAAACTAGAACTCTCTGGCCCCAAGGACAGACAACACTGAAATAAGCTCCTGTTTTGAAGCAACAGGAGCTTCTTCACTAATTTGCATCATCCTTGTCTTGACTTGTCTATCTTTTGTTTCCCTTTGGACTTCCAAAAATTTGTCTTCACTAATTTGCATATGAATCAATAGTTCGTGCTTATAAACCTGCAATTCTCTTAGTGTCACTGACGAAAGGTAGTAGTCTGACCGTTTTAGGTAGCACCAAAATCATATCGAGTTGCTTAGTACTGTTTTTTTTGGTGTGTCTTTTATGTTGTGTGGAAGGATGATATGTGGGTGTGATGACATTTACAGGTAAGGTATGATTTTAGTAGTAGCTTGTAGTGGGAGACAGCGGTGCAAGACCGGTGAAGATACCAGTAAATGATAAATTTTCTGTGGAGAAGGATCTATAAAGTCTGAAATTAAAAAGAGTGATAGATTAAACTTAAAAGAATTCCAGTAATGCTACAGATTTACAAAGCTATATACATGTATGATGTACATGTGTAGTATGGTTGTAGTATGGAGGCTTGTGTATTTGCAGAAAGTATTTCCAAATTGCAGAACAAAATTTTGACTCTTCTGCAATATTGCAGAGTACTGAAAAAAAGTATTTCGACCATTGAGTAATTTTGGATGTATTTTTCAAATTGCATGTAAAATGTTTACTGAAATGCTATTTTGTATATGATCCAGACTTTTAAATGTGTATTTGCAGAAAGTATTTCTAAACTGCAAAACAAAAATAAATGTTGACATTGTACAATATTGCAGAACACTGAAAAAAGAGTATTTCGACCACTGTGATGACAAAGGTGATGCCAAAATACAACCTTATCTAGATCTTTATGAAATAAACACTGAGCTTTAACTTCCAACGGAATGGACCCGTCTACTCTTGGAACGTGACGTCAGAGACACGTGACCGTAGTAGCGGGTCATACGTACACAAGTTTTCTGGCACGTATGACCTGCTACTACGGTCACGTGTCTCTGACGTCATGTTCCAAGAGTAGACGGGTCCATTCCGTGAACAAGGTTGATGGAGTCAACCGAAAATTTGGGGTAAGTCCCAATTCTGTGTAGTGTTGGAAGTTAAAACTCAGTCTTTATTTCATAATGATTTTTACCAACACAGATGAACTGTCATGCTTATCTAGATCTGATTGTACTATTTGTAGTTGACATGACTAGTATTACCTGGCTAACAGGCATGTTTACAAGTACATGACATTGTATACACGGTTCTCCTGTTACATTCAAAATTTCAATGCCCTGCCTCAGAAAACCAGAAGGCATTCCCGGAAGACTGTTTGTATATCAGCGATTTATTTCTGCATTACTGTATTTTTTCCTGACCTGACGTCACCCATGATACATGTATATAATATTAAAACATAGAAATGCAAAAAGGATGCCCGAGGCAGGCAATTAGGAAGCTTGCTGGAGCATCTGCAAAAATGCACTTTTGGAGCCTTTCAATACCTCAGTGCCCTAAACACCTGATGTGATGTGATGTTCATTGGTCATCGTCGACTACGACGGACGAACAACAACAACAACAGCCCTAAACACAGTGGAAAACAACCCACTGTCCATAAGGCCTCAAAAAAAGCTAACTTAGAGAGACTACCTTATCTTTTACTTTTACTAGTTTTAGCAGAACCATTTGTTTAGCCCATAACAGTTCAAATGTACTTCCGTCCTCACAGGTCCAATGAGAAAGGTCGTGTGGATGGACCGTTCCTCCGAGTCTTCTCAGACCCCCAGCAGACCAGACTGAGGCACGTCAACCTGCACGGCAACGAGAAAATCAGCAACCAGGCCCTGTCTGCTCTCTGTAACCACCAGCTAGTGGAGCTGGACCTGTCCTGCTGTCCCAACATTAACGCAGACTGTCTGCAGCATCTGTACCAGTCTAAGTACACGCTGTTGGCTCTCAATATCAGTGGCAACATGTCCTTCCCATGGCCCAATCAGGACATCCGACTGGACATGCCTCGGCTGCGCGTGTTAAACATCGCTAACCTCCACGGACTCAGACTCAGCAGCCTGGAGACCCTGGCCATGAGTCTGTCTAACCTGACGTCCCTGGATGTGTCAGGGTTAAACGTGGATGACCTGTCCTTCCTGACACCTCTGAAGGACAAACTCTCGTCACTGGTCCTGTATAACTGCAGTCTGAAGGACCAGGCTTACCAGACGATCATGAGCATGAAGGCACTGAGGTAAGTCTGTCACACATTCAGAACCTTCCCAAAACACCAACCAACCAAGCTTGGTCAAAATTCGGGAGCAGGCTAACCGGATTTAGGCTACCCCTCTTTTAATACAAACCAAATTAGATTTGAGTTAAATTTGTGTTAAATTTGAGTTAATTTTGACTCCCAAGCAAAGCCCCGGGCCCCTAGCCAAAAAGGATCCAAACTGTACCAAAATATTCGAGAAAAAAAGGTATTTATTACTATTAACTAGGGGCTGGAATTGTGTTGCCAATTTGGGACCTTTACTTTAGTGTGCATAGTCCAGTGTGACCCTGCTTCAAGAGTGATTGGGAGTTCTTAGCTGTTGTCGCTCACCCGACATGCACGCCACTGGAAAGGGCATTAAGTTGCAGTCCTTAGCCGTTATAATAGGACGGGGCATTAAGCTGTCGTCCATTGTTCAATGTGCTTGTCGAAAAGAGCTACAATAGCAGAATTTGCCCAGTACAGTACTATGAACCTGTAATTGTAAATACCGTATAATTTGTAATTATTACAAGAAGTGTATGTCACTACCAGTTGGAGATTAGCTCTTCAGTGAGCTAAAACTGTATCAAGATCACTTTTCTTTTTACTGTTTGTAACACAATGTTGACATCTGTCTTGTAGTCAGGCTAATGGTCTGTTGTGTTTTTGAGCAGACACCTGGATGTGTCTGTCCCTCCTGACAGGAAGACCCCGGGAAAGAGTCCCCTGCTGTCTAAGTTAGTCCAGAGTCTGCCAGCCCTGACTTCTCTGGACATCTCAGGCACCAGTCTGGGCGACATGGACAGTGACAGTGGGTCAGACGACATGTCTGACACAGAGGCAGGGTAAGTTGGTTGGTATCATGAAAGTCAATCTGTGTTCACTTGGTAGTTACATGACTTTTTGTTTAAAGTTAAAACTTTTGGTCCAACACAAAAAATTCTCTCACCTAGTGCTTTCGACCAGTCACTCTGGTCTTCCTCAGTATACTGACCCAGTGAGGCTTGTCACGTGGCTTCTTTGAAGTGTGACGTCAACACTGGGTTTAAGGTATCTGGTAGACGATGTCGGCCCCCGTTGCGGTTCAATGTAGGGTGATGGGCCCTGATGTATATGGCTTCCTTCACCGCTCTCAAGAAATAATCTTGTTCAGTGTCTAAAATCCTTACAGTGTCAAGTGAAATAAATAAGTTGGTTGGTATTGTTATGTTTACCGAAGGAAAACATATTGTTTTTGCTCAGTTTCTTCCTCCTCTTCTTCTCCAAACAGTGATCTAGATGACCTGACCAATGACATGATTTGTTGACATCTGTCACCATGGTGACTGCGTGGTGTTGGGTTACATACATGTAATGTTCAAGTCCAAAAAGAAACGAACGTTGGGAGCCAGTTCTGAGGTTACAAAAAAATCATGTCACATTCCCCTTTTAGATCAAAATTTTGCTGTCCAAAATGATGAAAACATTGCCATTGGGCATCGTCAAGTGTTGGCCTGCATAAATTATGTGGCCACAGTTTTGCCCAGAGTTGCCAAGTTAGCTGAGTATAATATAATGTTTAATTGTGGGACACATGCATCTATAGCTACAATGTACATGGCTATCATAATTATAATTATGCTGTTTGATACCATTTAGTGTTTTTAGAGGTCACCAGGGTATTATCAAAACATTGAACAAACGTACTCATGATCTTGTAATGTTTTTTGCATTTTGCACCCTTAAAATTTGGCTTACTGGTATTACTTTTGAGGTGTCTTACAAAATACATGAAGCATTTGTTTTGCAAACAAAACAAGTAGTGTTCTCAATCAAGCCACTCTCTACAGGGCTCGATATAATGGGTGCATGTGCACCTTAGTGCACCCAAAACTGGAGCTGTGCACCCTATATTTTTCTGTGGGTGCACTGGTGCACCCAAATATTTCTGTAGGTATTTTTGTACATATCAAATGTATAATAGTTTGCAGGATATTATTGACATCTAAGTGTCAGAAAAATAATAAAATATATGTTGTTGTACGTTTTGAAAGTTAGCTCCCAAGCTCATATGAGGAGCAGTAAGATCTGTAATTAGGCCACACCAATTTAATTTGTTGGTTCTCGGATTCGCCTCTTCATTTTTTTCTGATTTGCAAAAAAAAAAAAAAGATTCTGGTTCTGGTTCTGAATCAAGCCCCCAGCAGTTAAGGAAATTCCTTTTCTTCCTAGTTGTTACAGTTTTTCCATCTATCAATGTAGTAGTTTGATTAAAAGATCAAAATTTATACTTTAAATTTTAACCCAGCCTTTTTTATTGACTTCATGGCTCATATTGTAGCATTTGGGGCCATAATAGGATGCCTAGACCTGTTTTTATTTTTTATTTTTTTCGCCCTGTCGCTTCATATTTTTTCTGAAAAAATCCGAGAACCAACAAATTAAATTGGTGTAGCCTTAGGTTTTGTTTTATATGGTGCACCCAAAACATTTTCTGTGCACCTAATTTGTTTAGGTTGGGTGCACCAGTGCACCTATTCCCAAAAGTGAATTTCAAGCCCTTCTCTAATTATTTGCTTTCTTCCTAGCGATGAAGAGTCCCAGCGACAGGATGGCGGAGTGGTTCGTACTACCATTCCTGGCCTGCAGGGTCTGAGACAGAAGCTGGACTTCCTGGGGCTGGTTCAGACAGGAGCGGCCGGGGCTGAGCACATACCTGCACACAGGGTCAGTAATGTACCAGCCCTTCATTTGTGAATTTATGGTTTAGGCCATGTTGATTTGATTATATGGATGACATCCTCTGGGAACCCCAAAAGTTATGCGAGCGTGCAAGGAAAAAAAAGTTAAGGCAAAAAAAAGTTGCCTTCATTATGAAATCTATGTGGTCATGAAGGTTGAACAAAGGACTAAACACACAGGGTATGGTATGGCAAATTATGGGCTCTTTGTTTTTATTTCTTCACATTTTTTTTTTCCTCTGGAATCGATGTCATTTTGTGACATTAGCATCGTTTTTCAATTATTTTTTTGCAATTTATGGCATATATTTTGCTCATTTTGAAGGTGCCTTGTGTGATTTAGAGTATGGTCGAAACCTTTTTTTTTGGAAACAAACAAAAATTCATGCGCGCTCGAATGTCATCCATGTAATCAAATCAACTTTATATACTAGTCATTGTACATGACATTTACTTTAGTCTGCGTTCAGAAGTATCATAATGATTTTGGATTGCTTTGTTCATTATAATAATAGTTTAGTTCAGAGGTAACAAAAATATGGAATACATTACATCCCAGAAGTTTAAGTGTATATCATATAAAGTTGTAACTGTGCTACTAACTGACCTGTCTAACCTGGTCCAGACCTTTTGGCCTAGTGGTTACAGCGCTGGGCTGGTGAGCTGGTAGCAGGAAACAGGAGCAAGGAGACTTTGTGTTTCATAATATTTTGGAAAAATCCACTCTTGAATGGGGGAGGGGTATTCTTTGGAAAAGTCATTTTTGGAACAGTCCATTTAGACCACACCAATTTAATTTCTTGGTTAACGTTTTTTTCTAGAAAAATAATGGAGCGGGCGGGCAAAAAAAATAAAAAAATAAAAACAGGCCTAGGCATCCTATTATGGTCCAAAATGGTGCGATAACAGCCATGAAGTCAACACACCAGGCTGGTTCAAAATTAAAACAATGAATTTTGAACTTCTAATGATACCACTGCATCGAAAGATGGAATAACTGTAACAACTATAAGGAAGAAAAGGACTGTTTTCAACTGTTCAGGACAAAATATTGAGCATTTTGCAGTTGATTCTGAATTTTTTTTTTTTTGCAAATGAGAAAAAAATGAAGGGGGCGAATCCGTTAACCAAGAAATTAAATTGGTGTGGTCTCATGGGCAGAAATAACCTTTTGAATAGTCCATTTTAAATTGGTAGTGCCATTGGAAAAGTCCATTCCTTCAAGGGGGTGAAAATTTAGATTACGACTTCAGGTATAACGTAGTTTGACTTTAATTTAAGGATTGAGATTTGTTGTGACAGGTGGCAGGTCACATGACTGAGCAGCAGGTGCTGACAGCTGTGCAGGTGTATGTGGACCGCAGTCAGATGCTGGCCAAGTGTCTAACAGCACTGTTTGAGCTCCTGCAGGCTGTAGACTTACAGGAGCCACTGCAGTTTGTCCATGTAAGTACTGGGTAGTTGTACATATGCAGGTCTTCAAAATACTGGGTGCGTGATGCATGTGCACTTTATAGTGCACCCAAAATTGGGGCTGTGCACGTATTTTTTTTTTTTGTGGGTGCACCAGTGCACCCAAATATTTTTGTAGGTATTTTTGTACATATTAAATGTATGATAGTATACAGGATATTCTAGGCATCTAAGTATCAGAAAAATAATAAAAAAGTTGTAGTACTTGTGTAAGATTTTAGATTCAAGCTTAGAAGAGAAGCAGTAAGATCGATAATTAGGTTTTGTTTTATATGGTGCACCCCAAAAATTTTTTGTGCACCTAATTTTTTTAGGTTGGGTATACCAGGGTACCTATTACCAAAAATGAATTTCGAGCCCTGATGTAGTTTGGGCAGCATGTCGGCAGAATGTACTGCACCTGTACGAAACCTGGATTTTTCGTTGGATGTTTGGCCAATGTTGCATCAGAATTTTGCCTGTTGCACAATATATCTTTTCCGACACAACATTTGAAAACTATCCTTAAATACATGATGTATAATATGACCTTTAACGACCTACTGGGGGTATGCACAATATACATTACAGCTTTTGCCCAAAAGCTTTTGCACAGGCACAGTACGTTCTAGGGTTGCATACTGGTCTTGTGTACCGGTATGGTACCATGAAAATTGATTGGATACAGGACTGGTCTAATGTACAATCACTAAGTACACCAGTTACTAATATGACACATCGTTATTGAAGAAGTTCAGAATGTCATGATGTTAATTTGTCAAATTATTCAGGTCCAGACCCGTACCTAAACCTCTGTACAATGTACCTAAATGTTACGATTAGGTACACAACCATTTTACAGCAACTGTACATGTATCTTACATATATAATTATGTCAGGTCTTTGTCAGGAACAAGAAAAATTTTCATCCATTTGAATAATCATGGATTCTGCTTTTGCCTTTGTCCAGCATGTTGGCACGGTTATGAAGAGGCATCCCAAAGACCCAAACATCCAGGTGGCAGGCAGTGCAGCACTGTATCACCTGACTAAAGGCTGGAGAAACAGCTGTGATCACATCAAGTTACGCAGGTCAGTCTAACGCTGGTCCCTCTAGTCTAGGAAGAGAAGAAACCTTCTTTCCTTAGGTCCACTCCACTTTTCTCAACTTAAAGTGCTCATGACACCAAAGGATGACCATACCTGATTGTACAGTAGTTGACGTAACTAGTATTACCTGGCTAACAGACATGTTACTGTATAATAAATAAATATGCATGGTTCTTCTGTTACATTCAAAATTTCAAGGCACCGCCTTGGAAAAGTCAGCACAGGCCAATCCCTCCACATTTTTTGCTTCTCCATGTTTTATTTTTGCATTTCTGTATTTTTTTCTATCAGCTCCAGAAAAAGCACAGAAGTGTAAACTTTAAATTAAATGTAAAACATGGAGATGCAAAAAGAGATGCCTGAGGTGGGAGATTGGGACGTCTCCAAAAATGCACTTTTGAAAGGCCGTACAAACTCAATTTCTCAGTCATCATGATTGAAACCAACTTCAAGAGACTATTTGTATGTATACTTTCGATATATATGTTTTGCAGACTTTCTTTAGTGTCATATGGTCTTTAAAGGAGCTCTGAAGTTGGGAAATGAGTGTCAATACACACCGTCAGTCAAACATGTCTCTGACCACTCATGCAGGGGACCGAGGAAAAGTGGTCTTCTTAGGCAAAAAGCATGGCAACAAGATAGGACAGAGAACAAGAAAACTGCAGCAAAATTTCCAGTCACCATTTTACAAAAAAAGCGGTCATTATGGCCAGATGACCAACTCATGGAGGTGGTTGTTTGGGCAAGTTTGACTGTAGTTCAAATATCCAGGTGTTGTCCTGGGTGCTGAACTGACATTCCAGAAGATTTCTGAACAGACTTTACTGTGTCTGTCTGGATTTATCTGCTTTTAAGTGTTTATTATTAGCACTAAGCAAAGTTGAATTAATAATATATATATATTGTTGAATTATATGATGTCATATAAAGTTGAATTATATGATGTCATATCCTTAGTAGTGAATACGCAAATTCATTTGAAATTCAGATATTATCAGATGTCACATAAAATACATGTGTGTTTCACCTTTGCTACAGTTGGAATGAAACCTGTGTTCTAGCCAAAAGACTGAATTTGCTAAAATGGCAAAAATTTTGACCAATTCATCATGTGTGCCTGACAAAATTGGTGTGTTAAGATTATGGAAAGAGATGTCATTAAATTAAGCTTAGTCTACCTGCATAACTTGCCCCTCAAAACGTAGGATATACATGTAACATTTCAAAGGGTCAAGATTTTAAAATTTCTCCCAGACCCCCTAGGACTTTCAGTGTGCCACACGATTTTCCTCCATGATTTTCCTCTGCCACATTATGTTATGTCAAACTAAATTGAGATGACTGGAACATTGGCAGAACATTATAGTTAATATATCAGGTACTTTTTGTAGAAGGAGCGATGTACTAATATAACCCTTATCTATGTTGCAGGGCAACTATCCAGGCACTGACATCAGGAATGGAACACCATCCTACAGAATTAACAGTCAGTTCACTTACTTAAATTGTTGATCTGTATTTAGGCCACATCAACTTGATTTGTTGGTTCTCTGATTTTTCAGAAAAAAAAAATAAGTGACACACACGTCAGGGAAAAAATGAGGCCTAACTGTAGGCATCCCATGATAGCCCCAAAAAGTCAACATGCCAGGCCGGGTTATGATTCAAACAATGAATTCAACCACTGTATTGTATACATGAAAAAACTGTAACAACTAGGAAGACAAAGACTTTCTTCAAATGTTAGGGCTAACATATGAGCATTTTGGAGTAGTTTCATTACCTAAATATTTTTTTTTGCCAATCATGAAGAAATTAAGTCAGGGCAAAGGGAGAACCAATTATTGATTGAATTGGTGCAGCTGTAGCATGCACAATGTAGACTTATAGATTCTGAAGTGTTTTCAACAAAAAATACAAAATGCTGACACTCAGTCTCTATTATAATAGTTGTCTTCAAGATTACTGACCCACAACTGAGTCATATGTACAATGTAATGCCTTTGCAATACACATGTACATGTATTGTGTATGTAACAGGTAGTCGTCCAACAAACAAAAATTATTTTTCTGTTCCTTTTGTCCTGTTTCACTCAAATGTCTACTTATTATCTTCATGTAACAGAAGTATTGTTTTGGGTGTGCTGATGTGTTTGTATGTGACAGCAAATGGAAGGACTCCCCATTAATTATTCAGACTGAAAATATACATGCTGAAGTGAAGAGAAATATTGGGAATGCATGCGTAGGGTCTGCATGGGGTTAGTGATAGACACTGATACTGACATTGTTTTACGAAAAAACATTCAAGGGACTTCTGCAAAGAGTTGGCTAGTGATATGTATTCCTTGATAAGTTATCTATTGGGAAATGGCCCCCTTGTGCTGACTTGGGTGCAAGTTGATGCTGTGATCTAATTTTGAATGTCATTTGTTTGTTATTTCCAGATGCAGCGTAACGGCTGTCTCACACTTTGTAACTTCAGGATTCCTCAGGATCTGGTAAGTTAATTTAAACTTAAAATAAATTGGAGTCACTGTGAAATATAAAAAACAACAAAGGCTGGTTCTAGCTGTGGGTTTGGAGAGTTCTGTAACCTCTGTTACTTTCAGATTTAAGTAAGGCCACACCAATTTAATTGTTGGTTCTCAGATTTTTTCAGAAAAAATATGAAGCAACAGGGTGAAAAAAAATACAAATAAAAACAGGTCTAGGCATCCTATTATATATAGGACCCAAATGCTTCGATAGGAGCCAGGAAGTCAACACAAAAGGCTGGGTTAATATTTAAACAATGAATTTTGAACTTTTAATCAAACCACTGCATTAATAAATGGGAAACTGTAGGTACTGCACATACATGTACTGTACGTAAGCAGCACGTGTGAGTACGGCCTCCTTACGGTAAAGTGGCAATCACACAGAGATTGTACATTGTAAGCCATGTACAACTCACTTACCACTTTTGCAACAATGCATGCAACCGCTCACAGCCAGACGTGGCGTGCAGACCTCACTTTTGCACCTTGCGCAACCGTGCGAGTGATGTGCGTAGACGCCACTCCTTCCCCATGTTTTCAGAAAAACGTAGCAGACATGGCCTTCCAATAAAACGTACAGACAAAAAGCACGTACATCGGGTTGTGACCGAGGCTTGACTGACATGATGTTTCGCCTGTTGTAGGAGTTTGAGTACCAGAGAGTAGCGGAAGTGTTGCTGAGAATCTTCACCAACTTCCGGAATGAAGAGTTTATCCAGCGCATCGCGGTGTACCTGTGTAACATCATCGTGTGTCAGCTGAACGGGGAGCAGAAGGAACTGGTGGGAAGGATCGGTGTGGTGGAGGTCAGCACAGTTTGCACTCTTGTTTTACATGTAATTATAATAAACAGCGTCTGGATTAAATTTGGACAGTCCAGTTTAATTTCGGACTACTTCCCATATCTCAGCAACCTTACATCTACATGTAGATGGGCTACAGGTAAAAATGATACAAGAAATACATGTAGCAGCCATCAAGGACTCCTTAGGGGTTAACCCAATTCTGTAGAATACTACAGAATTCTGGAACTGAAGCCAGAATTCTGCAGAATTCTGGGACTGAAGCCAGAATTCTGGAACTGAAGCCAGAATTCTGGAACAGAAGCCAGAATGCTGTCTGTGCAGGTAATTTTCAATGTTACGTGTACCTGCACCAGTGCAGGTATGCAGGAAAAAGTATTTCGGACCCTGGACTGTCTTCGAAATCAATATCTTAACATTTACAGACTCCAATCAAGATCTCTACGGCAGGAACTCTGGTCAGAGTCTCTGTTACGATCAGAATCTCTCTCTGACAAATACATATTGTATATAGTTACAGTAACTGTGTTTTTATTTGTTTTCCATAGACCATGCTGAAATTGATCCATGAAAGACTCAACTCCAAGACGGTGAGTATTATTTCCATAATGTTGTGTAATATATGACTTGACAAATGTGTAGAATTTGTCAGGTAGTCGACTGGTCAAACATTACTAGTCTGATAAGAAATGGGTGAATGTGAGACTTTGCCAGAAGTTCAACAGGAGGGCCATACCTAGCTCAAGTATGTGCATATAAAAGAACCCACCACACTTATCAATAAGTGTAGGTGCTGTTCCCAGTAATGCTGTGTACCGATTCACTGGACCGGTTCCGTAAAAATGTTTAGGTTCAAGTCAAAAATACCTGAACGTTGGGCATTGTCATGTGTTTAGCCTCTGTAATTATGCGCCATAGTTTCACCCTGGGAGTCATGATGGAGCAAGGGGCCAGACCCTGGCCTGACCACGTAGCAGGTAAGCAGGTAGGCAAATTCACCCAGACATATTGTGCAAACAGTACATCTTGATATGTTGCTTTTAAAACCTGGTAGTGCAGTGCGCACTACAGAATGTTTGCCAACATGCAATTTTGTATACGTCATGGGTTTAGGTCCAGACTTGTATGAATGAATGAATGAATGAATGAATGAATGTAAGTCTAGATCTGAACCTACATGATGCCAAAAAGGAGTTACTGAAGCAACTGGATATCATTTTGGAAACGGTCAGACGTTTCAGCTAGTATCCACTGACCAGAGGAGAAATGCAGGTTTATAAGCACAAACTACATGTAGTTTGCGTACCTGCATTTCTCCTCTGGTCTCTCAGTCACTGAGGAAAGCTAGTGGATACTAGCTGAAACGTCTGACCGTTTCCAAAATCATATCCAGTTGCTTCAGTAACTGCTTGATGGCGTACCGTATTACATGTACCTGGATGTCTAACCTTCACCGACGAACCTTAACATGAGTTTAGGTGCACAGCACTAGTTTCCAATGTGAATACATGACATATAGTTCAAAGCCTTACTGTCCTATACCAGCCCCAGGGTCATTATTTAACTGTGTTGTGTTTAGGTCATCTGAAAGCACTGAAAGTCTGCAAAACAGCACCTGTTTGTGATCATGAAAGAAGTCACGATGGTCAAATTTTGGCCCAAATAGTCCAACCTTTTTTCGAGCCGAATCATGTTCGATATGACGTCATTCGAATCGAATCATGTTCGATATGACGTCAATCGAACCGAACGTTCGTTCGATCCGGGGTCACCCGCGGTCATGCACAGTAAACCCGCGGCTTTAAGACCGTTTTTACACGGGTACCGCCTTACAGTAAAAATTCCACCTTTTCACGAATATAAACCGATTTTGGAACAGTACATCTATGCCCTGTTTTATAGTCGATATGTAACATGTAACGAAGTTACTGCCGTTATCGTGTGTGACATTGAAGATCGTATTTGTTGTTTACGGAGATATAAGTTACCCCCTGCACTAACTCACACGGCCTGACATGCGTGCAAACATGGTATTTCAACCGCAAATAAAACAAATTCAATTTACCCCAAAAAGGTTTTAAATTGTAGGCAAGACAAAAATCAAGATCTGTGTCGGACGGATTTTTTAAAGATGGCGGCATTCTGGAATTATTCGTCTTGGAAGTTGAAAAAACGCATTTTTTTGCGAATTTTTCGACCTTAGCAACACTTAAACTTTGAAATAAAGAAAAGTGTCCGACTCAAATCTTGATTTTGTTATACTGTTCTCTAAAATACAAAAATTTGGGATTTTCTAGGAGATTTTGGGTTGGTTTAAATCAGTAGTTTGGCTATTGACGTCGATTGTTCTAGAATAAGCATTCAACGCATTGAGAGTGACTTCACACACATTTAAGCATTGTAATGAAAACAACAATATTTGAGGTATATGCGGTGCTGATTTTATCACATTTGGACAAGAGAGACCCCGTGAAACTGTTTATTATTGTTTAAGAAACGGTTTACCGTTGAGGCTGGCTCCACGAAAGCCGCGCGTAGAACCCCGGTAACCTGATACCCCTCCGTAGAATTGGAACTTTTACCCTACGAATTGACCACCGTGAGTACACTGTACTTGTAAACGGCCCACCCTAATAATAAAACACCAAAAATGAATGAGTTGTTATTTCTGTGTTTCAGTGTAATGAAGTGATGGAGATAGCCTGGAGTACCCTGTGGAATATCACTGGTAGGTGCAGTACTGTACACATACATGTACATGTAGAATACAGTAGGGTGTATTCTGTATCAAACATTCAAACGTTATAATTGCAGCCCAGGTATGACATACATGTATGTAACACACATTACAACTACATTTTGTACTTAGTCTATAAACATTTTGTATGTCATGAGGCATGTACATGGAAACCGGAAGTTCCACTGCAGTGCCATGACAAGTCAACAGGGGGAGCAAAATCTAATCACACATTTCAAATGCATGTCTTTGTACAGTCATATGCAAAGACAATCCATCCAAGTCTTCTGAAGTCATTGTGTTGACACACACACAAACACACACACACACACACACACTACTGAAAACATAACCTTCTTAACGAAGGTAATTAGGGAAATGGAGTAGCTCCTCTTAGGCCTATTGGACATCAGGAATGTTGTACATCTCTTAATGGCAGGTTGGGGTCAAACGTACCAGTGAGAGTTTCTATCATACACGGGCCGCAATAACGTTCGATAATGGGTTCCGGACCGGGCCATACTTTACGGTACGGCCCGGGCTTCCATGGCTTCCATAGAACGATTTGAATGCGTTTTGCCCTAACCACTGCACAGCTTTCAAAAATTCAAATACAGAATTCGAAAGTTGGAATTGATGTTGTTGCATTTTTGAGTTTAGGGACACCAAATTTGAGCTCATTTTGCATTGAAAGGCATGTTTTCTTGGGTGGGTATGACATAAATAAAATACAATACGGTGTATTCCACATCGCCCTCGGTCACAGCCCTCCCGCAGATCGGATCGCCTGATGGCCGAAGACCTGTTCTATATTTATCACAAAGGCCCGCTTTTTTCTTTTAGGATAGGGTTGTAAATTTGCTCATCATCATCATCCACTGTATTCTGCATCATTCTGTAGTTGAAAAAAAGTCCTGCAGCTGCACTCAGTCTTTCTTCATTTTCTTCCACCATGCCATCTCTCTCGCACCTCCCTTATAGTTCTTAGAGTCTCTTTTCTGTTGTAGGATTGCCTAGCCTTTTGCACTTCATGCCTCCCTTCAGCATACTGAGCAGATTGACACTGACAGTGTCTTCCTTTGCGTGTCTTGTATCTGCTGGAGCCTTGGATTGAGAATTTGCTCATAGCTACATTGTACTTGTAACATCTTTTTACAGACGAGACTCCCCAGAACTGTGAAATGTTCATGGATGGTTCAGGCATGGAGCTGTTCTTGAGCTGCTTGGAGGTCAGTGCTCGTACAGTGATCAATTATATATCATTTTAATTTTCACTTATTTTGTTCTTACCTCACTTAAAGCAGAGGGACTAAAATACAATAAGTCTTATTGAAACAGCAAGGTACAATGATTCATTCAAACAATTTCTGAAAATGTATAAAATAATAGTTGCAGTTTTTCCTGGTACAGTAACAATTTTTTTTATTATTATTATTATATTATTTGTCTTCAAGTTGATAATTTTGATATACAATGTACATTTGTACACTCTACACTGCAACTCTCGAAAGACTGACCCATACACGTACATGGGCAGTCATTCAGTACAAGTCTCTCTCAGGTACATATACACAGGTACATGTACATGGCATTGTACAATGATGAAGTTGATTCCCCTTTACAAACTTAATGCACATTTTTCCAGTCATGTACGTCATGTACATTTTAAAGTTGTATGTCAAAATTTTAGTGACTTTAGCCAAACTCTTTAATTGAGTGCTTATAGTTACTTTGTAGCAAAATAATTTTGATATCTTTACACAATGTTGTGCCTTATTTTCAGACTTTCCCAGACAAGCAGGAACTGCATAGAAATATGCTGGGACTCATGGTTTGTATTTGGTTTTACATCATCTCTTTATATACATACATACATACATACATACATACATACATACATATGTACATAAATACATACATAGTAATACTATGTAGTTTGATCTACCTGCCATTGGACATTTTACTTCATGAAAATTTTTTGTGAATACCTGACAAGAAATCATTGTGAAACTGTCAAGTTTATTGCATAACTGAGAATGTGATCGATTTTTAAAGCTGCATTAAGTAACATCAGGACAATACAAAAAGTCAATTTTCAAGTTATTTAGTTAGTCTAGTATGTACGTAGTTGCAGTCTTGTGTTCTTAGTTATACATGTTTTGGTATTTTGTAAGTAGTGCCACAAACTGAGTGCACTGTTTATCACCAACCATGAATGTCAGAAATGTGAGATAAGGCCACACCAATTTAATTTCTTGGTTAACGGATTCGCCGCTTCATTTTTTTCTGATTTGTAAATAAAAATAAAAATTCAGAATCAACTGCAAAATGCTCATATTTTGCCCTGAACAGTTGAAAACAGTCCTTTTCATCCTAGTTGTTAGTTATTCCATCTTTCAATGCAATGGTATCATAAAAAGGTCAAAATTCATTGTTTAAATTTTGAACCAGCCTGGTGTGTTGACTTCATGGCTCCTATTGTACTATGTTGGGCCATAATACGATGCCTAGGCCTGTTTTTATTTTAATTTTTTTTTCGCCCGCCCGCTCCATTATTTTTCTAGAAAAATCCGTTAACCAAGAAATTAAATTGGTGTGGCCTTATGTACAAATATGTGGAAAAGTGGAAGATAATGACAATCACAACAACTAAATATTTCAATTTTAAGTGCAAATTTGTTACATACATTTAGAAAAAAATAAATGTCCCTTTGATGTTTCAGGGAAATGTTGCTGAAGTCAAGTTTCTTAGGCCTCGTTTGATGCAGGAAAGATATGTCACAGTCTTCAAGTAAGTATATGGACCTAGTGTGTGGCACAGTCGGTAGCACATTCAGCTCACACCCAAGAGGTTGTCATGTGGGTTCGAATCCTGCCCATGTCACCGATCTTGTGCTCTTTACATGACTTTCCTCACTTCACTCTGGTGGAAATGAGTACATAACTTCGGTTAGGGATGTCCCTCGGATAGGACGTTAAATGGAGGTCCCGTGTTTGGGAGAGCCACACCCCACGCACATTAAAGAACCCACCGCACTTATCAAAAAGAGTAGGGGATCTTCCCGGTGTGAGTGGTTCAAATCTGACAGTTCGGTCATACGGAGCTTGTACATGTGCGTACATATACAAAACTGGTGTATTACGCCTAAAGGCGGTTTACCGGTTTTGCAAAACAAACAAAATAAACAAAATTAATTAAAGAAGTAGTCAGCTTGCATTTATTGAGGGTAAATGAGGTTACCGGACAGGCATTGTTGTAGGTCACTACCACACATTCTTGTTTGATAGTGAGTCATGGACTAATAAAAAGTTTAAGGTTGTACCCATTAGGGAAGCATTCACAAGGAAACATGTTCCATAGTGATGTAGTTCTAGGAAAGAAGCTTTCAGGGTCTTTCTCCTAAGAGATGGAGTAAGGAGGAAGAAAGACTTGCTTCCTCAGTGGCAAAATGTGTCCTTGCTGAGAAAGTTGTAAGTGGGGGCACAAGGGAGTGAAATTCCACAAAGCATTTGTCATGGAAATAGTGATAGAGTAACGTCTAGATTGTAGATTAACTAGATTCATGTACACCCTTGTGAGAGGGGTTGTAAGGTGCCAAACAGGTCACTCCCAACAAGATTTGGTAAGTATAAATTTGTTGTTGATATTGAGGATTGTCCAACAGTGTAGCAAGCAATATGACTCGTGTGTATACCAATAAAAAGTTACTCAAGCAACTGGATATGATTTTGGAAACGGTCAGACAATTCAGGTAGCATCCACTACCTTTTGTCTTTGACACAAAGAGACTGCAGGAGAAATGCAGGTTAATAATGCAAGAACTATTGATTGATATGCAAATAAGTGAAGATACAATTATTTAGTGAAGCCCAAAGCAAACAAAAGTTAGACAAGTGAAGGATGATGCAGATTAGTCAAATAGCACCTGTTGTTTTTGGCATATCTATTACCTGGATGTCTAACCTTCACCGACTTGTGTGTGTGTTTGCCACAGTACTCTGCTGGAAAGTGAGAGTGATGGTATAGAGGTGTCATACAACTCGTGTGGTGTGCTGTCCCACATGATGTCAGACGGGGTGGACAGGTGGACAGTGTCCCAGCCGTGCCGTCAGCTGGTGCTGGACAGGATGGTGCAGGCTATCCAGAGATGGGACGTTGCAACCAAAAGAAATATCAACTACAGGTTTGTGAAGTTCATCTGTGTTGGTAGTAATAAATAAGGCCTAGAAAATTTTCATGTTTCCAGTTTCCTGACCAAGGACAGGTCAGGTAACACAGTCAGTACCAGGGACAGGGAAACACAGTCAGTACCAGGGACAGGGAAACACAGTCAGTACCAAGGACAGGGAAACACAGTCAGTACCAGGGACAGGAAACACAGTCAGTACCAAGGACAGGGAAACACAGTCAGTACCAGGGACAGGAAACACAGTCAGCACCAGGGACAGGAAAACACAGTCAGCACCAGGGACAGGGAAACACAGTCAGTACCAGGGACAGTGAAACACAGTCAGTACCAATGACAGGGAAACACAGTCAGTACCAAGGACAGGGAAACACAGTCAGTACCAGGGACAGGAAACACAGTCAGTACCAGGGACAGGGAAACACAGTACCAGGGACAGGGAAACACAGTCAGCACCAGGGACAGGGAAACACAGTCAGCACCAGGGACAGCGAAACACAGTCAGTACCAGTGACAGGGAAACATAGTCAGTATCAAGGACAGGTTTTATTTATATTTTTTAAGCTTTTTGGCTGTGTTATAGAAAATGTACTATATATATATAAATGTACTATACCAAGCCAAGGACCATATTTGGGCATGACTCATCAGAATGGCATGCAGCGCAAGCAACCAACAGGCACCCAGCTTTTCTCTATTCTTCTTGCCGGTTGGCTGTTGGGATTTGATTAGGTTAAGTCAATTAACCCCTGTACAAAGCCATTCCGTATTGACGGTATGAACTGCATTCAAGTGCTTTGGTAGGTACATGTATAATACACAATAACGTTATTCATTCATTCATTTATAGAATTTTAACTGGTCCATTTGCCACCAGGTCATTTGAGCCCATCCTGAAGCTGCTGTACCACTATGACACACCACAAGTCCAGCACTGGGCAGTCTGGGCACTCACCAACCTCACCAAAGTCTACCGTAAGTAATGTCACTGTTAGGTACAGGGAGCAACCTGAAATGGCAACAGACTATAGTGTAAAAGTATTCTGTTTTTGGCAACTCCTCTGGGGTGAGCCTAATGGTATAGTATTGTAAGATTTGTGTTGTTTCTGTATGTACATACACTGTATGTGCACTCTAAACCTCCAGCTATGTACATCTCACATCTGACTGGGGCTCACTCCAGCTATTTAAGCCTACCTTTCTGTACCATACAGCATACTATACGGCCGCAAATAAACACAGTATAAATGAATAACCCCAAGGGTCTATGACACGCATTTTCAAAGTGGTACAAACAAAATTCTTGAACCCTGGCTAGAACATTTAATGTGAGAGGTAGCCAGGAGTTAACTTTGCTGTTGGGTTTAGAAATCGTGTTTGTGTATAAGTGTGTGGCATTTCACAACAGTCTGCCAGGGTGAGCCGACTGCAGTTCAGTTTACCTCCAAATGTTGCTATATAAAAGAGGGCTTCACACATTTAAGAAAAGCAACTTTTTTTTTGTTTTCAGTTTTTTTACAGATTATACCCAACTCAAACATTATATTATTACTTTTTTTCGTAATTTGCTAGTGTAAGACATGAGCAGTTTATTGTGCTCAGTCGGAAACTAGTCTTTTGTAGAGAAACAATCGTTATGGAATATTCCAAAATTCTCACATTCTCACCTGTGTTACATAATACATAATTATCTATATCAGTCCAATCCCAAGTATCAACTGGCTTGAGAGTCATAAACTATTGGTGTGATAAACTGGTGTAATATGGTTGAGAACTTGACTTTGGGGTATATTTGGCATACTTTAATCTGTTTAGGCTTTTGTTTGTTCCCTTTTGCTTTCCTTTCCTTTTTGCCTTCTGCACCTCCAAAGCAGGGGTGTATCACTCTTCTGTTTAAAGCAAGGGTGTTGTGCAGCTGCTGCAGCAGTGTAATGCAGCAGTGGTGTTGTGCAGCTATGCAGCAGTGTAGTGCAGCTAAAGCAGGCAGGGGTGTTGTGCAGCTACATGTAATGCAGCAGTGTAGTGGAGGTAAAGCAGGGGTGTTGTGCAGCTGTTGCAGTGGTGTAGTGCAGCAGGGGCGTTGTGCAGCTACATGTAATGCAGCAGTGTAGTGCAGCTAAAGCAGGGGTGTTGTGCAGCTGCATGTAATGCAGCAGTGTAGTGCAGCTAAAGCAGGGGTGTTGTGCAGCTAGTTCAGCAGTGTAGTGCAGCTAAAGCAGGGGTGTAGTACAGCTAAAGCATGGGTGAAGTGCAGCTAATGCAGCAGTGTAGTGCAGCTAAAACGGGTGTTGTGCAGCTAAAACAGGGGTGTTGTGCAGCTAAAGCAGGGGTGTTGTGCAGCTAAAGCATGGGTGTTGTGCAGCTACAGGGTTGGACAAGTTTTCAAAAATCCACTTGCCCTCTTGGGCAAGTACATGGACATCTCCACTTGTCCGAACCAACTTTTCACTTGCCCAAAATAAACGACATTTTTATATGCATTTTCACTACCAGCAAGAAAACTATTTTCATTTTAGAGTTATCAAAATAAGGTGGTTTGAGACTTAATATAATATCATTATGGCCAAATCATGAGTAATTTTGCTCCAAACACCATAGCGGGTATACTTTGCATCCCAAAAATTTACTTTCCCAATCGGGCAAGTACAGGGGGATATTCACTTGCCCGAACAGTACTTTTACTTGCCCTGGGCAAGTGGGCAATAGGACTTGTCCAACCCTGAGCTAAAGCAGGGGTGTTGTGCAGCTAAAGCATGGGTGTTGTGCAGCTAATGCATTGGTGTAGTGCAGCTAAAGCATGGGTGTTGTGCAGTACAAGTGGGCGTTGTGCAGCTAGTTCAGTGGTGTAGTGCAGCTAAAGCTGGGGTGTTGTGCAGCTAAAGCTGGGGTGTTGTGCAGCTAATGCAGCAGTGTAGTGCAGCTAAAGGAGGGGTGTTGTGCAGCTAAAGCAGGGGTGTTGTGCAGCTAAGGCCACACCAATTTATTTTCTTGGTTAACGGATTCGCCGCTTCGTTTTTTTGCCAAAATGAAATAAAAATAAAAACAGAACAAAAATCCATACTCTCGGGTCCCGAATTGGGGCCCCAAAATCCACCCCATACGTTGTAATTTTTCAAAATTTGTCCACAGTTATCAGCGTTTAAAATACATTGCTTCAAGGCAGAAACATTTTTCTGAGGGCAATTTGTACGGAAAGCTAGGTTGCCTCTTCAAAAGTTCGTCAAAAAAATTCTTTTGATATAGAACTCGCCCCCCACCCCCTTTGCACATGTCACCATTCATGGGACAAAACTTCACTGACGACAGTCAAACGTACGGCAGATTTACTAAGTCATCGTGCTTGTAACAACATATCATCTTTCTTTTAGATATATATTACATTTCATTTAGAAACACGTATTGTGTCGGAAACATGTGCTAGTAACGGGCGTTAAAAGTAATCGGCCGAACGTATAAACTCGGCCTGGGCGGCACATGCACACACACCTTCAAAACGATCTTTTTTCCAGGGAATATGTAAAAATAACACGACATAACAATGTATTCTGGCATCACAAACTGTATTACTCTCAAAAAGTATAAAATCCTACCACAAACATGGGAATTTGGCAAAGTAAAAAGTCCTCGTGCACGTAAGTCCATTCACTAAAGCAACTTTCTCACGGTCTGAAGAGTCCACTTCGAGTAGGGGGAAACAGGTTCTTTTAATTATAGAAATTACTCTGTGAAAAACACTACATGTGCATGTGGCATTCTAACAAAGTTACATCTTATTTAGATACCTATAAACAGGAGTACAATTGCAAATAATGAATCAATTATTACATCTAAATTTTTTAATAAAATGGTTCCCCCTACAAATAAAAATCCCCATACATCAAAGACTTTATAGTGAAACCCTAGACCATTGAATTTGTGGCAACTTGAAGAGTGTGTCAATGTGGCTATTTGTTTGAATGCTGGCTATGTATAATGTAGCTGTAGCATACCTAAAGTGTATAATGGGAAATATAGAATGTATACTACCGGTAGTATTTGGGAATTGGGGAAAGATAAAAAAAGAAATAAAATATCTGTAAAAGTAGTTAATTCTTTTGCTAATAACTTTTTCACATTCCTGGAAATTTGTCTAAAGCATATATTTAGGATATTGTAAATTTCAAGCTCTAAATAACTTCCATATCAGCCAGACACAATAGAATGCCCAGTGAGCCCAGTGGTAAGCTGTGTGCCCTGAACTAAGAAAACAATGGGATCTGAACAGAGCACCCTGATTTAAACCACTCTTTGGAACTTTGAAAGATGAATAAAAGTGAAACCAGTTGGATGGGAGTCTTGTCAACTGACAGTTTGTTGTTCATACAGTAAAGATGTGTATCTTGTAATCTCCAAGCAGATCTTTTGGTGGGGGTAAGACAGTATCAAATTGGCCAGTCTGTATCCATTTCCCCACCCAAGTAGTGGTCCTTTCAGTTCAATAAGTGTCTAATATAATGTCTTATATCATTTTGTAACTTAACTTAATGGATTGCTTACTACATGGCTGTACAGCTAATGCAGCAGTGTAGTGCAGCTAACGCAGCAGTGTAGTGCAGCTAAAGCAGGGGTGTTGTGCAACAAATGCAGCAGTGTAGTGCAGCTAACGCAGCAGTGTAATGCAGCTAACGCAGCAGTGTAGTGCAGCTAACGCAGCAGTGTAGTGCAGCTAAAGCAGGGGTGTTGTGCAACAAATGCAGCAGTGTAGTGCAGCAAATGCAGCTGTGTAGTGCAGCTAAAGCAGGGGTGTAGTGCAGCTAAAGCAGGGTTGTTGTGCAGCTAATGCAGCAAATCCACCAACCGACACTCCCCTTTCTCACATGTACATTAATCATGCAACAACACACTGTCAAGTCCTCTGTGTCCTTCTAGCTGAGAGGTATGTCCAGCTGCTGCGGGATGAAGGAGGCCTGCCCCTGCTGGAGACAATACTGACCAGTCCCCAGCCCTACCCTTGGGTCAAAGAGCTGGTCACCATGGTCCTAGCAACATGCCGGGACTACAGACAACAAGAAGTAGAAAATAACAACAACGACTAACCAGTACCTGACAGGTCAAGTCTTTTATAACGCTATACGTGTACATGTAGATCATGTAGCAAGCTGAAGGGAACTAGGACTGGTTAGAAGCCCTGTCACACATAGCCAAATATGGCCTGCTTAACTCCCCCAACCATGGTTAGGCCTAGCCTGGTTACCGAACCTATTACAGCTCCCGAGTCCTGCATCCTCTCCGCAAATAGAGGATGTAGGACTCGGGAGCTATAATAGGTTTGGTAACCAGGCTAGGTTAGGCCGTGTTGATTTGATTCATTATGGATGACATCCGTGCGCGCATGAATTTTCAACCGTTATCCCAAAAAAAAGTTAAACTTTTCAACCATACTGTAAATCGTACAAAACAGTTGCAAAATGAGCAAATATATACTTAAAGTTAAAAAAGAATATTTGAAAATTATACCAATATCGTAGAAGCAAACGAAAAAGACTAAAATAAAAGAAATGAATTTGAAGAGTAAATACCCCATACCATACGCTGTATCATTTGTTCAACCTTTATGACAAGAAGTAGATTTCATGCCAAACTTTTTTTTAATTCACACGCTCGCATCAGTTTTGGGGTTCCAGAGGATGTCATCCATATATTAATCAAATCAACGTGGCCTATAGTAGGTTGGGAGCAAGGTCAGCTGTGGTTGGCTGGTGTTCAGCCAGGCCGGTGGGTGTTCGGCCAGGTCGGCGACTGTTCGGCTGTGCTATTCTTTCAAAATGTTTCAAACATACAGGTGTGAACGGGAGATTTAGCCATGATTGGCTGGTGTTCCTGAGCAGGTCAGCAGTGTTTAGAATGTGTTTGGGAGTCACATTTGACTCAAATTTAACTCAAATTCATTTCTATTTAAATACAAGGGTAGACGTGGCCTAAATCTGGTCAGATAACATCCAGCTTCAGCCAGCTTTGGTTGGTTGGTGTTCAGGGGAAGGTTCTGAATGTGTGGCAGGGGCTTTAGTATTACCTTCCCGTACTAACTGGTTGTGTGCTGTAAGCACAGTGATTGATACTACATGATGCAAGACATAATTGCAACTTAAATGTAGTTACTGTAATGGGAGATATGTCCGACAGAGGTCCAAAGTTTCAAAAATTATTATAATGATTATAATTATGTCCTGCATGGGTGCATGCACAGGACAAGGGCAAATATTTCATGTAAATAGCTGCAAAGTCCATGTACATGTGTGTGTCAAAGTTGGTAAGCCCTTACAGATAATGATTGAAAAGCTTGTGCTACGTACATTGTATGTATGAGTTTTACAACTTTCATGCAGGTTGACAACCAAACTTACTGAGAACATGGCATTCAAAACTCTTTAAAGTATTCATCCTAGAGGATAAAAATGTCAAGTAAAAACATGTCACCACACAATATATGAAAGGTGTTTATTATCAAACATCATGCTGCCCCGACGGCTGACTAAGCTATGGGAGAGAGTGAGAGTGAGTGAGAGTTTATTATACTTTCCATTGAAAACACAACACTGTGTCGTGTCTTTGTCTTTAACCTTGGAAAATGGAAGTTAAAATAACAAGCGATGGTTACCCTGTTGAAACCTCCATCTTTGTTAAGCAGTTATGAAGGTAGCCGAGCGATGCTCTACTCAATGAAGTTACTTATATATAATAAACTAAAGTAAAGCACTGACCATTCTTGAAATTCATACCCTGTCCAACTCGAAATCCTGTTAGTAGCGTTTTGCTGCTACCACACCACACTGAAGCAAGTTATGGAACATATGGCACAGTGTTTCAGACGTACTGCAAAGATTTAGTATTACACAGTAAGGCCACACCAATTTTATTTCATGGTTAACGGATTTTTCTAGAAAAATAATGGAGCGGGCGGGTGAAAAAAATCAAATAAAAACAGGCCTAGGCATCCTATTATGGCCCAAAATGGTACAATAGGAGCCATGAAGTCAACACACCAGGCTGGTTCAAAATTTAAACAATGAAATTTGCACTTTTAATGATACCATTGCATTGAAAGATGGAATAACTGTTACTGTAACAACTAGGATGAAAAGGTCTGTTTTCAACTGTTCATGGGAAAATATGAGCATTTTGCAGTGTTGATTCTGAATTTTTATTTTTATTTGCAAATCAGAAAAAAATGAAGCGGACGAATCCGTTAACAAAGAAATTAAATTGGTGTGGCCTAACTGCTATTCTGTGTTAATATGCACAACTGTTACAATGATTAATTTGGTTGTTACGTTACAGGTTTGGGCCCTTTTTTGCATTGGAATGTTCCTCTACAACAAGAAGCAAAATCTGTGGTGACTTTTGCTTTCAAACAACAGAGTGGAACATTTACTGTTAAATATAATGTCTGCACGCTTTTAATCACACTGTCAGATACAAATCGCAGTTATAAGATACTTAAGATTATTTTTGGTTGGTGGTGGGACAAATGTACGTTACACAAGCAAGGCATGCACATACACGTAGAACAGTTACAGTACATAGGATCGCTCCCATTCTTGTGTATATATACAAGTACATAGTAGTGCCATCTTTTGGCAATGTTTAATGGCAATGGACAGTTACTGTAGAATTCTCTGTGACTGTGTGTGCTGTCTGTTGTGTTACAAGTTGGGTTTCACCTTAGTTAATATTTGATACCAGATTCTGCAAAAGCGACAATATGTCAAGTAGTCTTCAACTCCGGAAGCTTTAAGGGAAATATATTATGTGTCTGGTAATATTGCATCTTGTTTGGAGCTTCTTTTGCTGTAAATACCATAAAATTTATTGTTAATATGATTAGATGTATACAACTTAATTAAGACCTTTGTGTATATTGGTTAACACTGGTTAACAGGTGAAGTAGTTTCAAATTGATAAGTCACCATTGGTCATGCAGAGTTTTTGAATCTAGGTACTACATGTACATGTAAGTACATGATTCAATGTATCAATCCTAACTTACAGGACTTCATTTTAAGTTTGATAGGCCACACCGATTTAATTTTATGGATGACATCCTCTGAAGATCCCCAAACTTGTGCGCGCGGGCGAATAAAAGAAAATTACGGCCAATTGAAAAATAAAAATGCTACTAAACCACAGGAATACAAAGCTGGTGTTGTGAATTTGCGGCAGTACTTAGCGACGTATATGACAAGCTGGCACCTACTGGCTTTTTGTGGAATTTATGAATTGGTACAGTACGTATGTACTGAGTTCTTGGACCGTGGAGCTTCGAATTCGATAGTCTGGGCGCTCGGCTCCGTATTGTCGCTTGGCCGGCTTCTGGGACTACCACGGACTACCCAGGCCTAGAGCCAGGCCAGAGCCTGGGTGGACGTGATTTTTTTTTTTTGAGGGCGACAGGCGAAAATCAATGCGCGCGCGGATGTCATCCATAAAATTAAGTCGGTGTGGCCATATACAAAGTAATGTATGTAGTTTTTTTCATACAAAGCGGCCTTTTTTAAGTTTACAGTGGCCTGGCTTACGGCTTCTGAAATAAACTGCATCTTGCCTCAGCCAGCGTGTCAGCAAAAATATCTTTCCAAGAGGCCTGGCTTCCAGCTTGTCTTCTAAAATAAACAGCCGGTGTTGATATACATTGTATGAAATATGAAATAATGAAAATAAGGATTTGAAAACCCTGGGTTGAGCAACATACAATCATTATGTACAAAACACATTGCATACAAAATATTATACATGACATTGGTCATTCTCATAACAAGCTTAAGGCAATGAGAAGAAGAACTTTTGACTCATACAGCACCATGTATAATTGTAAAATTTATTATGCTGTTAAAGTTTAAAATAATTTGTTAAATTCATCTAATATATAAGTTTGAGGGAAAACATTGCTGCATTTTGAAGACTAAGAATGTGTTCTGTGTGAATTCTGAATCTATGTGACGTGTGCATGTACATTAGGAGCCCAGCATCATTTTATCAGTTTCATAATTATATCTGATTCAGGACTTGAAATTAACCACTAAAATTTAGGTCAGGACAACTAGAAAGTCATATTGGGACATTTTGGGGACAAAAGAAAAATAATCAATGTCAGAATGTAAGCCCTTCTTTTGTTTATCAGGCACGAGTCCTGGCTTTTGGCTCTGGAAAAGCCCCCGAAATTTCTTGTCTACTCCGCAATAATATTTATCGTACGCCTGGGAGTCATAACGTAAGCAAAAGTTTTTGTTGTACAATAGTTCCCAAGAAGCAGGTTGGGACAGTTCATCCTCACTTTGGAACAATTGAAATTTATTTTTGGGACAATGCTGGGACAATAGGAAAAAAAGTTTAACTTAATAATCGAGGCTTGTATATATAACATTACTTTAAAAATGAGCACGCTTAATATTATTCAAGCCAACAATGCAGCTACATTGTAAATAAGAACACAATACACACACATTGTTGTAGTATGTACTCAGTCTGTTACTGTATGTTTATAGCTGCATCATTAACGTTATAAGTCTGACTAGACTGAAATCCAGATTCTGAAGCCAACTACACACTGTATGTACTGTACTTAATATGATTGCAGCCATATTGTGATAACTGCCTTCTGGAAATAGCAACAGTACTGTACAAAATGTAGATCAATAAAATATGCTAATTCCAACCTACATGTGTATGTCGCTATTATAACTTAGAAATTTTTTTGCACATAGCAAAAAACACTACAATGTGAACGTTTTACATCCATTTCTAAACTCAAAGTTGTAAGCTGCACAAGCAAGGTTAATAACACATTCATATATATAGTACATTGTAACAGTAAGTGTTATAGAATCTGATGTTAAAATTACCTTGTAATGCATTTAAGTCCAAGGTTACTTTCAAAACTTTAATTTCTGACCATACATTTGTAAGTGCAGTGTACCTGTAGGACTGGGTGTGTCTGCAGGTAAAGATGGTGAACCCATGTAGGACATCCAGCAGAACATGTTACTAAATCTGGGTGTGACATACAAAAATGCCATCTAGCAACTTCAATGAAAATTACAGCACTAACTCCATAAAGTTGATCCTTCATATCTCAAAGTGTGAGTATACTGATGCCATCTATTTGTGATGGCATGGAACAAGAAAAAGTTACACAGTCTAGCTTAAAGTTGGCAAGCAGAAGCTGACAGGACAAGCA